AGTTAGAACCAATTCGACGGCACTTAACAACAGCAACAACGTGGACTCTAACTTGAGCTTCTTATCAACTGGTGAACATAAACAGTTTCTATGTTAAAATGTCTGTTCTCTTTGTGACTGGGGACAGAAGTCTAATTTTAAATCCTGAATGATAAAATTACAGTATTGACTTTGTATCATCACATAGTATGGTTGGGAGACCAGCAGACCCTGAGAACTAGTTAGCAATACAGCTTTTCAGATCCCTCTCTAAATTACCTGAGAATCTGCTTTTTAACAAGATATGGTGCATATGCAAATTTAAGTTTGAGAAGGCTGGTTAGCTCAGTTTTCCTTCTAGCCTTTCCTAGACCCCTGGTAGCACAATGGGTCAAGAGTTGGGTTGCTGACTGCAAAATCTGATTCAGACCCTCAGGAGAAAGATAAGGTTGTCTACATCAATAAATATTTAGTCTCAGAAACCCTACAAGGAGGGTCAGTATAAATTAAAATCAACTCAAGGTCAGTGAGTTTCCTAGACTTCATCCTGCATCCTCCTTCCAGCAGCTAACAGCCTGCTCTTCCATTAAGCCTTGTTAGCAGAATGGAAGATTTAAGAAATGGCTGTATTTATTTACCTATGATTGTTTTTTCTATGAGTTCCCTTTTCATTCATCATTATGCTGGTAGTTAATGTTAGTAGGGAGCTTACTGGCTTTTTTAATATAAAGTCATGATCAATGTTTTAATAAATAAACATGCATTTACTTGTCTGTTAGCAGTAATGTTTTGCTTACTATCTGAAAAGACAGTAACTGCGTTTGTTCCTTTCACTCTACACTGTACCACAGTGGTGCCTTGGACAGACATTGAACTCATGTTTACATAATGACAGGCTATCTAACATGGTGTCATCATTTATAAGTAATATTCTAACACTAAAGAATTTCTAAGGGATTGCAGATGACAAATCAAAAAGGTATAAAGTAACTGAGATGATCTCATTGACAAAGGGCACTTTGCACTTAAAAAAACCGTACTTTCTCTTTTTGTCAGGACACAATTGCATTTTTTAATATATAGTATTTTAAAGATTGCAGTGATAACATGAGAGGGCTTCCAAAAGTTCATGTAAAAATGAATTAGAAGATAATGGAATTTTTCCACAGACTTTTTTGTAGCCCCCTTGTATTTACTTTTAAAACTACACCCTACCGAGTGGCACAGACTGTCAGAAGAATAAACAAATCTTTGTTGGAGAAGTACAGTCAGAAAGTTCTATTAGAAGCCAGGATGGCCAGACTTTGTCTACCATATTACAGACATATTATCAGGAGGGATCAGTCCCCGGAGAAAGACATCATGTTGATAAACTGGAGGGCCAGTGGAAAAGAGGAAGATCCCCAGTTAGATGGATTGGCATGGTGCCAGCAGCAATTGTAAACAACCGTTGTAAGTATGAATCAGAACCGGGCAGAGTTTTGTTCTGTTGTTCATAGGGTCATTACGTGTTGGAACCGACTCGAACAGCACACAACAATAACAATACCTCCGTGTTCTGTTAGAATGACTGACTATTGTTATCTGTATAGTTTTTGCATGAGTGCAATGAAATTCTCGAATTTCCATTCTTCGCAATGTTATCCATAGTTTGTTATGATCCACATGGTTGAATGCATTTACACAGTTAATAAAACAAGTAAATATCTTTTTGGTATTCTCTTCTTTATCGGACTTCAACGGTGATATCCCTAAGTTGTTCTTACCCGCCTTCTTTTTAAATGCATAAAGCCCAGATACAATTTACATGACCCAGATATAATTGGTCATTGAGCACTTATTGTGCAGTGGAGTGATAATGGAGACCTCCTCTTACTGTGGGCAATCTTACTTTTGCACAATACTAAATTTAAAAAAAAGTTCTCCTATGGTGGAGTCCAAACCTGCCCATCCACATGTTGGTGTTAGTTCTGTTCCTTGGGTGGGCAAAGAATAAAAATATTTCCTTATTATTATTTTTAAATGCTTTTTATGAAGATGAGTCAAAAATTATCCACACTCCAGTTATGTTAAAACATTTGTCCACATCCACTGCTGAGGACAACATTGAGCGTGCATATGAAATGATCCTGTTGAATAGACGAGTGACGGTGGATTATGTGGCAGGTCATCTGCAAATCAGCCATGGCTCTGCCTAGGAAATAATCCATGATCAACTTGGGTTTCGAAAAGTGTGTGCGAGATGGATATCAAAAGGACTCTCGGAAGACCATAAACAGAAGTGTTTGGACATCTGCAAGCAAGATTTGGGCCATTACTGGAAGGAAGGCAAAAGTCTCTTCAAAAAAATCATTACTGGTGACAAGACATGAATTCATCAGTATAAGCCTAAGAGTACATGGCAGAGTATGGAATGGAAACATCCTCAATCGCCAACCAAGAAAATGTTTAAAAGTCAACCATGAGCTGGAAAATTAACAGTTTTCTGGGATTCTCAAGGGTCAGTATTGGAACACTATCAGGAAAAAGTTTAAAAAATCCACAGTGCTCAGTACAGTGAGATGCTCACTGAAGAGCTGAAGCCAAAACTTGGGATTAAAAGCAGATGACAACTACCCAAGGGCATTGTGATCTTGTATGAAAATAAGCATCCTCCCTAGAGTCCTGATCTTGCTCCATCGAACTTTCACCTGTTTGGTCCCCTGATAGCAGCTCTTCAAAGATGAAGATTCACCTATGATGAAGAAGTGAAGACAGTGGCACATTCATGGTTCACAACTCAGCCTAAAACATTTTTTAATAAGGAAACAAATAAGAATGCTTGTTGACAGATGAACAAAGAGTATTGAAAGCAAGGAGATTATGTCAGGAAAATGATGTATATGTCTTTTCTAAAAGTTGATTTTTTTAAAAATTCTACAGCCAGAGTGCAGCTAGATAATTTTTTATTCACCCTCCTATATCAGGAGTCCCAAACTTATGACAGTCCTGGTGTGGCACTGTTGGATAAGCACTGAACTGCAAAGTCAGAGATTCAAATCCACCAGCCACTCCTTGGACACCCTATATAGGATCGCTATGTGTCAGAACAGACTCAAGGCAAACAACAACAACAAAATTTATGATGAGTTGTCATTTATTAAGCCCTTGTTACGTGATAGGCAGTGTTATAAATGCTTGAAAACATCTAATTTTCAGAACAGGTACAATTATTAACATTTTACTGGGAACAATTAAAAAGCTACTTCCCATTTTAAAAAAAGAAAAGAAAAAACTACACACTACCAATTAAATAAGTGAAAATCAAAACTACAAAGATGGCACTGATTGAAAAGACAGAAAAGAACAAATGCTGGTAAGGTTGGGGAGACTAGAACTCATACATTGCTGGTTGTTGTTGTTAGGTGTTACTGTAGGTATCATCGAGTCGGTTCAGAACCATAGCAACTGAATGTACAACACACAGTCCACAACACTGCCCTCCACACAGTTACTACTATGCTTGAGCCCTACTGTTGTAGCCACTGTGTCAGTCCGTCTTGTTGAGGGTCTTCCTCTTTTCCTCTGACTCTACTTTACCAAGCACGATGTTCTTCTCCAGGGACTGATTCTTCCTGATAACATAGCCAAAGTATGTGAAACCAGGTCTTGCCATCCTAACTTTGAAGGAGCATTCTGATTATACTTCTTCCAAGACAGATTTGTTTGACCGTCTAGAAGACCATGGTAGATCCAATTTATTTCAACAACAACATAATTCAGAGGCATCAATTCTTCTTTGTTAGTACTGTACAGGGTTTCTGAGAAGCAGATGGTGTGTTTGAACCACTTACCTTTTGGTTAGGAGTCCAGTGTTTATCCTACAGAGCTACCCCAGGACTCCAAAAATATGTGTAGAAACTATACGTTGATCAGTTTCTATGAGTCCTGGTTTGGTGCTGTGGGTTAATGCGCTGGACTGTGTCGGTTTGAACTGCAAGATAGGCAGTTCAAGCTTACCAGCCACTCCTCAGAAACCTTAAACAAGAGTCACTACAGGTCAGAACCAACTAGATGGCGCTTAACAACAGCATGCATATATAGGTATTTGTTGTTGTTGTTGTTGAATGCCATCGAGTCGGGTCCGACCCATAGCGACCCTGTACAGTAAAAATTGTTAAATACCAACATAATTTGCTGTGTTAACATTCACCAAAACTACAGTAAAATAACAATTTTTTAAAAATACATCCCATCAAAATGTTTTTATGTTTTTGGTGCATGCATTTATTTTTTGAAAATCAATTTTCATTTGATGTCCAGGATACCCTAAATAGAAAAGTTGTTGTTGTTTTTTTAATTATAAGTGTTTTATAAAAAAATTAAGACTATGGAATACAGTGATGTTCTGCAGCTCTACTTATAAAAGCTTTATAACTGATTCTGTACATTCTGGGAATAAGAATCTTGTCTGAAAATGCCAAGTAGGACACATGAGGTCAAAATACACAACTATAAATATCCTAGAAGGGCCTCTTAAACACAAGTTTAACAATTTGATTTATACACAGACCCTGGAACACCTGGAACTCAAATCAAATCTTAATTTTACTATTTACAATCTGTCATTTTGGGCAAGTTACAATTTCTTCATCTTCAAAGGGGCAAACCATAGTTCTCTCCAGATTAAATACAGTAAGACATATGGGACATGTAGAGCAATATTAATAACTATTATCCATTGTTAAGTACCATCGAGTTGGTTCCAACACATAGCAACCCATACATTTCTTCCAAGGAGTTTGAACTGTTGACCTTACAGTTAGCAGTCCAGTGCTAACTGCACAGTACATTACCAGAACTCCATTGTTGATTAGACTGTATAATAATAACAAGCCTGAATTGAAGTGGACTGAACTGTGTACTCTTTCTTGACAAAATGAGCATGCAGTTGAAGATATTTTTGTTGGCAGTAATTAAAAAGGTAGGTCCATACCTCCTCCTGAAAATAATTCTAAGCTTTTTTTTTTTTTTTTTTGCAGATAGAAGAGGCAGATGATTGGCTCAGACATGGAAACCCTTGGGAGAAGGCCCGCCCTGAGTTCATGCTGCCTGTGCACTTCTATGGAAGAGTGGAGCACACCAACACTGGGACCAAGTGGATTGATACCCAGGTATTCGAAGAGTCCTCACAATGAGCATTTTGCTAGGTTAACACAGTATGTAGTACATGGATAATGTGCATATTATACTGAGTATAGTATATTTGCTATTGAGTAATAGACTATATTTTTAAGCATACATCTAATATTGTCTGTTACTAACATTCACTTAAAAAACAGAGTGAGCAGAGGCCAAGAGAGAGGTGAATTCTTCAAGGTCAGGTGACTTACCAGCATGCATAGCTCTTTAGTTTTATATAAACTTCTGGTAGCATAGTGGTTACGAATCAGACTGCAAAGCTCAAGGTCAGTAGTAGTTCGAAACTACCAGTAGTTCTGCAGGAGAAAGATAAGGCTTTCTGCTACCATAAAGATTTACAGCCTCAGAAACCCTGTACAGGGTCGGTATGAGTCGGAACTGACTCCACAGCACACCACCAGTTCACTTTACCACCATATATACATTTATGTATAACTTTTCACGGTTAAATATTTTAATACTGATGTACTTATCCAAAGGGTTGCCAAATTGTGAAGTCAAGAAAAATAATGTGAAACATTACAGAAACCTATTCTGTTATTTTATGCCAAATCATTTGTGGAGAAATAATGCAGGTGACAGTGTAAGTGATTGTACTTACTACCTGAGCCTACATTTATCCTGTCACTAGACGTGAGTATTCACCCTCACTGAACAGTTCACCCTTAAGCACCCACAGATTGGTTTGTGTTATACTATTTTTCCATTTCCTGATTTAAAAAAACAAAAACCTGTAAACTACTAGACTGCACTGTCAGGTCATTGGGAAAATGCATTTGAGATATTTATTATTAAATATTTATCTTCAAGTTGGAAAAGATGTATCAATGGTCATTGTTTAGAAACAAAGAAATGATAAAGGCCATCTAAATAATGCCATGTCATAATTGAACATTGTAATACTGAACTCGACTCCTGTGTCGATTGTTGTTTGGTGCCATTGAGTTGTTTCTGACTCATAGCAACCCTGTATAGAAACACCTGGTGGGTGTGAACCCTCGACCTTGCAGTTAGCAGTTCAGTGCTTATTCTGTAGTGCCACACCATGACTCCACTTTGTATATTGATGATGTTGTTAAGTACTTTCGAGTCGGTTCCAACTCATAGCAACCCTGTGGGGGGGTTTCCAAGGGGCAGCTAGTGAGCTTGAACCACCAACCTTGCAGTTCAAACCAGCCTTGCAGTTCAGCGCATTTAGTCTTCATAAAGAAATGTTTCATTTTACCTTAAAAAAGAAAAAAAAAATTTATAACTAAAAAAAAAGAACAAAAAATTGGTGATTTCTTTTGCTTTGTATAGAGCTTTTCACAATTCAAAAAATAATTTTAAAAAAGGGTTCCTATCTCAATATTAATTTATTCAGCGTATAAATAATGGACTAGATATTAAAGTGGGTAATTTACCTTTTAATTAATTATGTAAGTAGTAAACAAATGTTATGAACTCAAGTTAAGTTTCTCTCTTTTCATGTTGGCTAAGCAGTAAGCCAACAATCTAAATTGCACTTGGTTATAAATTAGGAGTAGAAAATAAATCAATATTAACATGCCCAAGGAATTCACACGTATTTATTTCTATTAAACTACCAAGTAGTTGGTATAGATTTTGGCACCCACTATGACACTAACTTTTATGTAGAGTGCCTCTAGAAATTTTCATAATCCCAGAAATTCATTACAGACAGTGCTTTTCTGTGCCCACAAAGGAAGGTTGTGGAGCTGAGGTGATACAAGGCAAGTTAACCCCAGCCAAGCAGGGTGTTATGGATTGAAGCCATCAGCTGAATCAGTTCCAGATTGTAGCTACTGAGGTCAGAGAGCACGAGCTCAGACACACTTTGTGCATGCAGTGAACAGAGTCCAGCAAACTGAGCTGTTCCTGTAACTCTTGTGTCAGTTCAGGTCCCCTGAGAAGCAGGCACCAGGAGAGAATTACACATGACCTATTGTGGGAATGCCTATGAACGATAAAGGGGACAGGGAGCAGGAGGACGGTGGGGATTGTTGAGACGCCCACTATGCTAGTGTGACACCTGAGAAAGGAGAGGCGTGAGAGGAGGATGGGAAGGAGCCTCAGCTGGGCTGATGGAACCAGACTCGTAATTCCCAGCTCTGCTCCCTCTGTGCTTGGTCAGTGACTGGGAGCATCCTGATGAGAGTATAGCCTTGGCATGGGCTAGAGGTGGTCAGCTAACAACACGCTCCTCACAGAACTTCTCTCTGAAGTTCTTCCTGGGCTGCATAATTAACATATCAAGTATCAGAGGGACACATCTTGTGTGAACCCAGACTCAATCCTACTTTGTAAATGACTATTCCTGATTGATTATTACTTCCAGATCATGGTGATCCCGAAAGCATGCCTGACTATATAGATGATTGATGTACAGGCTATACTGCTTCATTCATTCATAATTCAGTAGACCATATTAATGAAATTTATGCATAGGTTTTTTCAGCTCTGCCACTGACTGTGACCTTGGACAAGTCACTGCTCCCTTAGCCTCAGCCCCCTCATCTCAAATTCAATTATTTTGTCATTGTCCTTCCTTAGAGCCTGACTCTGATGAGGCAAGTATTTGAATGACTAATTTCCCACATAAATTTTAAATTCCCTGTGAAACATACTTCATCTTCCTGTTCTGTTTCAGTGTCTGCCATAGGTACTAGGCTATATTTTTCAAAGCTCAGCTTAGCTAATTATCCATTATCAGATCACTGTGGGACTCACTGAAATCTCCCTTCTGTATCCAACTTCGAAAATTCTAGTACAGCACTTTCAACCTCTTCATAAATTTCCTACTCCATTCGTTTTCACCATGTTTGAAATCAGTAATTAACCTACATAAAAACTTATCCTGATTGCTATTTTTTTCAGTGAGTATATACTCTTTATATTCAAACTTAGTAGAACAAAGGTTTCATAGCAAACATGTTCTATGGTATCAGTCAAAATTTTTCTTGTGGCGCTGTGGGTTAATGCGCCAGATGCAAAGCCGTTTGAACTGCAAGGTCGGTGGTTCAAGCTCACCAGCTGCTCCTCAGAAACCCTACACAGGGTCATTATGGGTCGGAACTGACTCAACAGCACTTAACAACAACAACAACAATGCTGCATTAGAAAGAGCCCTCAAGGCGCAGTGGTTAAGCACTCTTCTGCTAACCTTAAGATCAGTGGTTCAAGCCCACTCATTGACCACAGGAGAAAAAACCTGATGGTATGCTCCCATAAAGATTGTAATGTAGAAAACCTATGGGACAGTTTGTGGGACATTTATAATCTGTTCTATATAGTACTGTAAAATAAGCTAATGAAACAAGCTATATGAATGGTTGAATGTGAAGCTGATGATGTGCCCTGTAAACTTTCACTCAATCCAAAATAAAAACATTTAATTAAAAAAA